CCCATTTACCATCACATCAAAAAGAATAAAATGCCTAGGAATAAACCTACCTAAGGAAACAAAGGACCTGTATTCCAAAAACCATAAGACACTAAAGAAATTGAAGACAACACAAACAGATGGAAAAATATACCATATTCTTGGATTGGAAGACTCAATATTGTTAAAATGGCCATACTATCCAAGGCAATATACAAATGCAATGCAATCCCTATCAATCCCTGCCAATGATATTTTTCACAGAAATGGAACAAAACAAATTTTTTTAATTTGTATAAAAACACAAAAGACCCAAATAGCCAAAACAATCTTGAAAAAGAAGAGTGGAACTGGAAGAATCATACTCCCTGACTTTAGACTATACTACAAAGCTGCGGTAATCAAAACAGTATGGTACCAGCACAAAAACAGACACATAGATCAATGGAACAGGATAGAAAGACCAGAAATAAACCCACGCACTTCTGGTCAATCAATCTATGACAAAAGAGGCAAGAATATACAATGGAGAAAAAACACTCTTTTCAACAAGTGGTGATGGGAAAGCTGGATAGCTACATGTAAAAGAAAGTAGAACATTCTCTAACACTATATACAAAAATAAGCTCAAAATTGATTAAAGACCTAAACATAAGACCAGATACTATAAAAGAGGCAGCACACTCTTTGACATAAATTTCAGCAATATTTTTTGAACCAGACCCTAGAGTAATGGAAATTAAAGCAAAAATAAACAAATGGGATCTAATTAACCTTCCAAGCTTGTGTACAGCAAAGGAGATCATAAACAAAACAGAAAACAACCTACAGACTGGGAGAAAATATTTGCAAATGACACAGTTGACAAGGGACTAATTTCCAAAACATACAAATAGCTTATACAGCTTAATATTAAAATACCAAACAACCCAATCAAAAATGAGCAGAAGATCTAAACAGACATTTCTCCAAAAAAGACATCGAGATGGCTAAAAAGCACATGAAAAGATACTCAGTATTGATTATTATCAAAGAAATGCAAATCAAAACTACAATGAGATATTACCTCACACCGGCCAGAATGCTCATCATTAAGAAGTCTGCAAATGATAAAGGCTGGAGAGGGTGTGGAGGAAAAGAAACTTCCCCTCCTACACTGTTGGCGGGAACATAAATTGGTGCAGCCACTATGGAGGACGGTATGGAGGTTCCTTTAAAAACTAAAAATAGACTTGACATATGACACAGCAATCCCACTTCTGGGTATATATCTAGAGAAAAATATAATTCAAAAAGATACATGTACCTCAGTGTTCTTAGCAGCACTATTTACAATAGCCAAGACTTAGAAACAACCCAAAAGTCCATTGACAGATGAGTGGATAAAGAAGGTGTGTATAAAGTGTGTGTGTGTGTGTGTGTGTGTGTATTATATATATAATGGGATGTGACTCAGTCATAAAAAATAAACTAATACCATTTGCATCAACATGGATGAACCTAGAGGTGATAATATTGAGTGAAGTAAGTCAGAGAAAGGTAAATATCATATAATATCACTTACATGTGGAATTTAAAAAAGATACAAATTCTATTTACAAACCAAAAACAGACTCACAGATATAGAAAACAAACTATGGTTACCAAAGGGGAAAGGGCAGGGAGGGATAAATTAGGGGTTGGGGATTAACAGACATGCATTACTACATTATAAAATAGGTAAACAACAAGGACCTACTGTACAGCATGGGGAACTATATTCAATTTCTTGTAATAACATATAATGGAAAAGAATCTGAAAAGAAAAAAATGTATGTATATATATGTATAACTGAATCACTTTACTGTACATCTGAAACTAACATTGTAAATCAACTACACTTGAAAAAAAATTAAAAACTTTTTTCACTTCTTTTGATTATCTTGGGATTTCTAGGTTTGTCGAAGACTCAGCTGCAAGTAGTGACATTTTATCCCCTTATTTCTCAAAGTGGACCTTTTATTGCTTTTCCTTGTATAATTTCCATTGGTTATTGCCATTTAAAAAGTGAGCTAATTTTGTTTTTTACTTTTTATTTTAACTTCATGGCACCTAATATCTTATCATTGACACTGATGCTGGATTTTGGCATTTAATTAGTTTATTTTGAAATCAGTATAGTCCACTTCTTGCAGCCTTATTTCATTAAAGTCTTTTTATCTGAGGTGTAAGTTTGTAAAAATGTCTTTTCATGTTGATTGCAACAATTCCATGATTTTTTCTTTTAACCTATTAATATTGTAAATTATATTAATACATTTCCCAATATAGGTGGTATATGTGTGTGAGTATTAAAGTCTGGGCTCCAAGGAACGCAGACTGCTGAGATGGAGACAGGTATGCAGGGAGTTTATTTGGGAGCCATCTCAGGATTAACACCTGAGCTGGGAGGAAAGAACACAGGATCAGGCAGAGGGAACTTAGACTGTGATGCTGTTACAACAAATGCCCACTCCACAAAGATGCAGAGATCTAAAGTCTGGTTGCACCTTTAGAGTGAAGGTGAGTGGCTGTGCTTTATAATCCCATTTGCCGGTTTTTGGATGAAAACTTCCCCTGGGAAGGACTTACATAAGGCATCTCTCCTCAGCACAAGCCAATTTCTGGACGGAGCTGACAGCTAGCAGCAACCCCTGCAGCTGGAGAAATAGAACCTTCTGTTTTTATACCATTCCTCTAGGTTTTGAGGGACAAATATTATTCTTCATTACTGGGCCATCTGAAGAGAAGTCCCAGCATACTTTTAAAGACATCCCTGATGAAATTTCTTCTTGGCAATGATGTTCAATTGAATGTTCTGTGATGACAAAAATGTTCAATATTTTCATTGTTCAGCGTGGTAGCCACCAGCCACATGCGACTATTGAGCCCTTGAAATGTGGTTAGTGTGGTGGAGAAAATGAATTTTAAATTTTATTTAATTTTAATTCATATAATTCAATGATCTCATGTGGCTAGTGGCCACCATATTGGACAGCACAATTATAGAGTATATCCTTTTTAATAAGATAATACAAAACATTATGTTTGTTGATGGAGAGGGGTGCACAGGTAAAAATATGGTAAGAAAATGCAAAGTAAAAGGAATAAATTGTTTAACACCAAAGAAATTTCTCAAAACTGGAATAGGGAGGTTTTCATTGAGAAACTTAAAAACTGAAGTGGTCTCTTTTAGGCCTGTTGCGATTTTTGCTCTACTAAGCAACTCTCTATTTTCAACTCACTATTATGTTTTAATCAGTAAGAATTCAGAGAATGTTTAACCTCAAGTTATCCCTCACCATTCAAACACCCATAATTTGAATATTTGCTATATACAGCTTTACCCAAAATTCATTATTTGGATTGAAAACCCATATAGCAAATCTGACTGTGCATGTAAATCATCTGACTGTGCATGCAATGACATTGCATGTGAGCCAGGGAAAGAGGATATAGAGTGAACTGTGGGCCTATCTCAGTTGCTTTCTGACAGCATCATGTCTCGTACCCATGTTGTTTGGATGTGTTTTTAATTGTTGGAATCATATTCTCCATATCATTAAGTAAAAATTT